CTTATTATTATTTATATTATTATTTATAATTATTTATCATATTATTATTTATTAGATTATAATTAGTTGCCTTCTGGAGATACAAATTAAGTTAATTAATTCTGTTTAACCCATATATATTTTAATTATAGATTATTATTAATTTATTCATATTTTATATTCATTTTTTTCATTATAAATAAGATCTATCTGTTCTGTAATTTCTCTTCAGATCTGAATATTTTTAAATAATAAAAATAATCATAAATTATAAAATTAAAATTATTCATATCATATTTTATCTTGTTTACAATCATTAACAAAATAATCTTATAATTTATTACTTAATTTTCATTTTATACTTGTAAATATATATTATAATTACTATATAACTTCAAAGATATATAAATATTTCTACTTTTAAAAATGAAATAAATATACTTGAATAGTAATAATTCTCTTGTACTTAAAATTATTTGAATTATATTTATCTTATAATTATTTTTATTTCTTTTACTTTGATATTTACTTTTATTTATCTCTTCTATTATAATAAATTATTCTAATTATTACATATTTTTCTTGTTTAAAAAATATAAATAGTAGATATTCTCTATTTTAAATAAGCCAAGTATATTTTATTTTGATTTACAAAATTTTTGCAAGCTTTTCTATATATAAAGGCTTTAATTATTTTGGTATATATCTTTTGTTTATCTATTAATTAAAAAGATACTGATAGAGAATTTAGTTAGCATACTAAATTTATAATTTATAATTTTTATTAATTAGTTATAGATATTTTCTTTCTTTATTATATTTTCATAATCATAATTCTCTTTTATTTATTTTTATTTTTGTCTTATATTGATATAATACTTGTAAGTATTGATATAGAAAATCTTTAAAATAATTATAATTCTCTTTATCTTCAGTCTTCACTTTGACAGATTAAAACAAAATCAGATTAAATAAAGAGTGGCATATTCAAATAATTATATTTCAATATAATATAGAATTTTTCAGATCTTCAAAAAAAGATCCTAATTTAATTAATTTAGAAAAAAAGCTTCAAATTTATTTTATCTTTTTTACATATATTAATATAAAAATTATTATTTAATAATAATATTTTAAAACTTAATAAATATTTTCTTATAAGAAAAAATAAGTTTAATATAATTAAATTTTAAAACTATTAAATTTCTATTTTTATTATTTAAAAATTTTTCTAAAAATTTAATTTTAATTTACAATTATAAATTGCTTGATTGTTTATAATTTAAATTATAGCTCTTATTTATATTTTGTTTATCATAAAATCTTCTTTTATCTGATTCACTATGTCAATTGCATAATTAAAAAAGTCCAATTTTGATTTCTATTATTATAAAGAAAATTGAATAAAAATTAATAATTAAGAAACATGAACAAACGCTTTTAATCTTTCTCGAAATCACGTTTTATTGTTAGTGTGAATTATGATTATGTTTACTTTTTCTTCACTTGTCATCTTTTTTTGATAGCATATAGTGGGTTGATAAAATAAGATTTTTAAAATATATTTTGCAATTAAATTCAAAACTTAATTCTATTCATTATTATACGTGTAATTGTTAATAGTATTTAGCACATCGGTAGTATTGTTTGATATTATTAATACATTCAATCTCGATTGTTTAATCAATGTGACAATATAAGCTGTTTCGCCAAATTAGCTCATATTATTCTCGTCTAGATTGCACTCAACCAATATTTCATGAACTTCTCGAGTACATTGAAATGAAAGTTTTGTCATCAACCTCTCGATTTCATTGTAATTCTTTGTCCAAACTGTCGTTTGCAATTGGTGATAATACCGGTTGTTGGATAATGATTTCGGATGAAAGGTCAGAATTTAAGTTGTTGCAAGTGGGATCTGTGATGTTGGCATTGTTTATATAAGAGACATCAATCTCATCCTCTTTGCAAACTAATATCTTTCGTTGCTTTTTCGGACGATTCTGCATGTATAATTGTAAGTTAATGTTAATTTATTAATATTTTATGCGAAATATATACTTTTAATAAATTTACTTTTTCATTATCATTTTCATTGTAATTATCATTATCATCTGATTCTTCAGTCTTTTCATTGTTTTCGTCAAACTTGTGTTTTTGCAGTTTTTTCTTTTTTTTTATTTCTGGCTCTGTATCGCGGTAGTCTGCCCACAACTCATCAAATTCTTCTTCGGAGTCTTCCATCAGAGTCAAAAGTTAGGAATTTTGATTAACAGATAATATTGCGGTTAGAAACTAAAGATCTATGTTTACAAGCTAAAAGATGTGTAGTATAAAATGCAATCTTATTTGTCATTATTGATAACGTTAAATGGTACTTTTATTTTTATCGAGTAAAGATATATTTTATGATATCTCATTACATTGATAAATTAAAATATATAATTAAACAATGAAAAGAAGTTGAAAATTTAATTAATATGAAATTACAAAGTGAAATTTATCAAGAACTAACCAACTTCTAAATCAAAATTCAATTTTCGATTAAAAATATCGACTAGTTTAACTGGCCAAAACGCCAATAGTTTTTTAAGATCCAAGGTTCAAATAATTAATATATATATAAATAATTTGTTGATTTATGATGGATGATGCCTCGTTTGTATTGTAACTACTCTTGAAGATATAATGCTAAGTCCCGCGTTGAGCGCTTAGCTTGTGTTAAAGTAGTAAAAAGTATTGCATTTATGTGTATATAAACTTAAATAGTATATGCTCTAATCTATTAAAAAATAATAATTAAATAGAATACCTATTTTAAAAATTTAATCAAATGATATTCCAAGTTAACAAGAAAGACAAAAACCACACCTTACTTATCCTATACTTGAACTCGTCTTAGAAGAGAGGCTGACGAATAACGAATATTAATTAGCGTTTGCTGGTATATACATAACAGCGCATACATAGCAACCCATTTTTATCCTCCGATGAATATGTTAGACAGAGAACTGGAAGAATCAGTTTCTTGATATTTTTCCTCATATGCCAAAAAATTGAACTTACAAAAAAATATTTTTTATTTTAGGGGAGGAAATGAGTTATTTGATGATGAATACTTTTCAAAAACTCTAAAAATTCTTCTCAATATATTCTCAATTCTTTAGCTACCATCCAAAGCACAAATATGAAAATAGTAATATAAAGACTTTATTAGAATCAAATAGTCACACTCTCTAACTATTTATGCAAATTCTTTTAGAAAGATTGTGGTGGTATCACAAATGGACAGAAGATGTAAGAGCTGCCGCTACTCTAAATAAAGCTTTTCAGAGGAAAGAAAATGTCATTCTTTTTAATGAAAAAGAAGCAAGTTCTCGATTTTAAGGCTGTTCCCGGATCAAAGAGAAAGAAAATGTCACAATATGAAAGACATGATAATGTTCTAAGTTGCATTCAAAGAAATTGAACTTAAAGAGACAGATAAACCAGGTAATTTTAAAAAAGAAGTCACAATCATTAAAAAATTAAAAGGAACAGAGAATATAATAAAATTTTACGGAATTGTAATTGGGTCGAACATTAAACCGAATAAAATTTCTCTTGTAACCGAATGGTCTACCGAATCAACTTTGGATGATTTCTATCAAAATTATAATTTAGATTGGAGCCAACTGCAATTCGCTTTAGATATCTCAAAAGGATTAATTCTGCCAAAATTTTACATCACGATATTCATAGTCATAATATTTTTATTAAATGGCACCAGAGAAACTTGAAAGTGATAAAACGCATATGATTTTAAGTGTGAAATATATAGGCAAAAAATTTCACGAATAATTATCAACAATAAACTATAGGTTTTTCTTATTAATTTTATTTTATAGTTTTGGGATACTTCTTTAGGAAATAGCTGAGCGCAGACCCCCATTTGAGAATAAAATATTGAAGAAATTAAGAACTTGGTTCTTCAAGAGAAACGAGAGCAATTTTCTTCGCCATTGCAAGTTTCCGTTGAATAGGCAGACAGCAACGCAATGCGGCAATGATAAAAGTTGCACGATGTTTTCAAGAAGCAGCCGAAACTTCGTTATGGACAACCGAAGTGATACAGTTATTACAATGGGTTGGGAGGAATAACTCAAGATGTAGAAAAAGTGCATATTATCTCAGGATGGCAGCATTAAAGCATCATCAAAAGCTATTAAAACATGCAAAAAATACAATATTCAGCTTAAGTTATACATGCACACATTTATTTCATCTGGTATTGAACTTTATTCATTATATTTTTGACACATTGAAAATATAGATTTCTCGATGTACTTTGGATGTAATTTTTTATTTGAGTTTATTATAAAAAGTATAGCGGGCTCTGTAGAAAATATAATGACTTTAATATAGCGAGCTTTTTTGGCAGAACCATTCCCTACTAATTTAAAAAATCAGAATATTTCGAATGATCTGTCCTTGGTAAATTTATACTATTTTTCAGAACTCGTTTTTATCTTCTTTTTATATTTTGGGTTCTATCGATATATTTATCAATATATATTAACGTTAACGTCAAACCACAATTTGAATTGACTTAAACTGCAATTTCGCTATTGTGGCACAGCGTTACGGCCCCACGGTGCAATAATCATAAAGTCAAACTGGTTAGGTTCCGGCTTAAACAGCGGTTTGTTCCCATTTCATACAAGTCATTCACTTCCATCAGAAAACTTGCAGCAAATTATTACAATTTTTGAAGTATGATTACAAACTTTATTGATCAATACTTTGGGGAAACATGCCAGATAACTTTCCACGGATGTCAATGTATTCAATGCCACCGTCGGCCTGTAAATTCATCCAAGCATATATCAATTGCTTGAACACAAATACTCGTGCGCAATTAGGGTTGACGGAATAACATTTGTCGTGACGCATTTGTTGATTATGCGATAGTCAAATAGGGGTTAATAATTTTTTGAGGCCCCCATGTATTATGTTTGTCAGCCACAGCCATATAAATATACTATTATTCCCACAGTATTTATTCCCACAGTATTAATATTATATCGACATGAGTAACGTCATATTGGGAATAATCATTATTAATAGTGATGTAAACGCTCTATTTTTAGTATGGTTTTATGTAAAACTTTTGAAGACAATGATCTATCAACGAGATTGTATTTGATAAACTGATCAACTCTGTATGATATTTCATGTTAAAATCGGTAAATCAATATATTTACATTTTCTAAGATGCAACTCAAGACATGACGACACGTCAGCGTGTCATATCAATAGTGAGTTATACATGATATTTTTAATTTAACAATTGGTGTGATTCTCGTGCAATCTACATCATTCGATGCATTCGATAAGACGACCCGACCATATTACTTTGACTTGTCTTTTTTGTACTATTTAAAAACTGTCTATTTGAAAGAGGGCTTTTCTGTAACAATTTATTATCAAGTTATATTATTTTTTACAAGATAAGTAAATTGGAAAACTTATTCTGTCACATTGTATATTCTTGTACTTAGTTTAATTTGATTTAAACTTTAATATTATTAAATAATAAAGATTTTATTATAATAAAATTATTGCATATATTGTAAGTTTTTAATAATAATATATTCTTCATTTAAAATTGAAATACCAATGAAAATTTAACTTTTATTAATGAATTAATTAATTTGTTTGTATATCGTCCATAATAGCAGCAAAAACAACACTACTATAGCATATGTTGGTTGTAGTCGTTGTGGCTGTTGCAGACGCTGTTGGTGCTGTTGCTGCAACTGTTGGTGCTGTTGCAGACGCTTTTGGAGCTGTTGCTGCAACTGTTGGTGCTGTTGCTCCAATTGAAGAATTTGTTGCTGCTGTTGTTGAATTTCTTTTTCTTGTCGCATTTCTTTTTCTTGTCGCTGTTGCTGCGACCTTTGTCGATTTCGCCAATTTTCCTGTTGCTGCTGTGTGTATTGCTGCCATATTTGTAGTTGTTGCTGCGACTGCTGGAGCTTTTCTCGCAGCTGTAGCAGTTCTTGCTGCTGCTGTTGTTGTTGTTGTGCTTGTTGTCGTTGCTGTTGTTGTTGCAACAGCTGTTGCAGCGTTTGTTGTGCTTGTTGTCGTCGCTGTTGTTGTTGCAACAGTTGTTGCAGCGTCTGTTGTGGTGAGGGTTGCGGTGGAGCTTGATTATTCATTTTGATGGAAAAAAGATTGTGTGATTTTTATCAATTTGACACGTATTATAAGCAATAAATAATATATCAAACTTTTGACATTGTATCAGTGTTGACTGATTTGCTATATCCGTCATACATGAAATTAATGTGCACAATCTGAATATGTGCACAAGATTTTATCAATTTTTGCTTGAAGTATGTGCACATTTTTTATATAAGATACATGGGTGTGCACATTATTCACAAAAATTATTGCAACTATGTGAATTTCACATCAGTCACTTTGGCATACAATTTGCCCCATTTTTTGATAACGTGATAATTTCCTTATAATCTATTTATGTTTAATAACAAGGCATCTACGTAATATGGCTTAATTGGCTCAACATCTCGAGATCCAGTGACGGGAATCGAGTATAAGGGCCACTCTATATTCTGGTGAATCGAATAATGTACTGTCACAGGTGGATTGGAATTTCGTGGATTTGGGGAAATTTGTGCACCGTGACGGTGGGTGGGAGAGGGCGATTAGACTAATTTTACATGTTGATCTAAATCCTGTGCCGATATCTACGAATATCGTTCAATTTGGGCGTTTCTAAAGGTGAGCGAGTAGGTAATTATGGAGAGAGGTGAAGGGTATTTTCGTTTATTAATTATTAACTATTCTATTCTATTTATTCCTGCACTTTTCTAGATAAAAGCCTTAAACTCGGATCAATCAAATCACACAATCAATGACTAAAGAACCTAACCAATTCGTCGTCTTTTTCTGGTAGAAAGAACCTAACTAACACGTTAGAACTACGATTCTATGGAGCGATTTTTACAAGTATTTCTCTTGGAGAAAAGGCAACGTACGCAATTTTATTTCTATTTTATTTAAAGGTCTGAGAGCCATTTGTTTTATACATTTTGTTATTTGTTACTATATAAAAAAAATATACTATTCTAATTCTAACTAATTTCTTTATTACATTAATAGATCGGGCGGTGGTAAAGGATTACTAAAGTAAGAGTGACGTGGTCCATTATACTAATGAGCGTGAACGATTGTGCTAAAGAATGCTGGAAAAATGGGAAGAAAGAAAGTCATCGCGATTATCAACAACGTGTGCTGAAGAATGTGGAAAAATAAGAGAATCAATTATCATAATCTTTAGTATCGACAATGTATACTAGGAGATGTGGAAAAATAGGGGTGTAATCCGAACTCGTGTGCCGAAGAATGCTGTGATTAAGGGTGATGCTGGATAATGCTGAAAAATAAGGGGTCGGGAAATTTGTAATGTTGTGAAATATTTGTCGGTCAGGACAATTCCCTTCATGATTTCCGGAATTGCAGATTTTAATGAAATAATTGTAAATTTGCCTCTTTTACAAGATTGAGTTCCATTAAAATCATAATAATTGCTGATTAAGTTTCTTTATTTATCTAGCTAAAGCTGAGATATACCATTAGCATTAAGGATAATTACTCACTAATTTTATCTGGATCAAATAGTCAAAAAGTACACTTCTCAATCTGTCAGTAATGATCAATCACAATAATATTAGTAAATTTGATAGATATCAGATCAGTAATGATCAGTAAATATGTTATTATTACTAATTTTTGGTTATACTAATCCAAAATCTGTGCAAAACTTCAAAAATAGAAATTTTATAATGATATAATCCAAAAAAAACTATAATAATTAGCATAATTACAGATTATTATAATTCTTTAAATATAAATTAAATAGATAAAGGATAAATGTTAAATAGATCAATTATATACATTATTATTTATTTTTTTAAAGTTTATCACAGATTCAAATTTGATTTTAAATTTTTTTGCCAATTAGTTTTTCAAAATATATATTTATTTACTAAAAAATAATTTTTTTGTCAAATCTTGACATAATATATATCTCTTAATTTATATAGTAGATTCTATTAAAATCATATTATACTTTTTGATATAGTATAAATAAGAACAATTATACTTTTCTAACTTATTTAGTATAATATTATATTCATAAATTATAATAAAATTATATAAATTCTTTGTTAATCTATAAAAAGAATAGTATTTTTAAAAGAAAATATGAAGATTAATTTATTCAAAATTATTAAATTTGAAATTATATATTATATATTATTATTCTATATTAAGCATATTTATTTGATTTATAATAGATTTAATCTTTATTATAATATTATTAAACTACTTTTTATTATAAAAATTTCAGAATTTTCAAATAAATTATATTATAAACTTTTATATAAAAGTTTTTGTTTTTAAATTCTTATAATAATATATCAAGAAATATATTTAATATAATAATTATATATATAATAATTCTTTAATAAAATTTAAATATAATAAACTTTTTAAATTTTTTAATAAAATCACTTTTACTTTATAATATTTAAAGATAATTTTATAATAAATTATCTTACTTATCATCAGAATCAAGTCATATATTTTATAGAAGATTTGAAATCTGTTACAAGAATAAAAGTCAATTATCAGATACCAAAAACTTTAGAAAAAGCTTAAAAATTAGCAATCAGATATGATACTACTATATATAGATAAGATAGATCTTTAAATTTATCAAGCAAATATAATAATAATAGTTATCACTCACAGAATTAATATAAAAATTATCAAAATAATAATTCTATATCAATAAAACTTAACTAGATAAAGAGTTATTATAATAATAGAAAGAATAATAATAATCAAAAAAATAATAAATCAAAAGATATCTGCTATAATTATGACAAACTAGATTATTTCACAAAGAATTATTATTCAAAATCAAAGATTAAGATGAAGATAATAATAAGAATCTTCATAATTTTATAAGAGAATTAAGTTTACTTATCTTGAAAATAATAGAGAAAGAGTATTAAAATTTAATAGCCAAGTAAATGGTAAATCAGTATGAATATTGCTAGATAATTGTATATTAAGAAACTTTGTTAATGAAAAATTTATATAAAAAAATAAAGTAAAGCTATAAAAAATAATATCAGTAATTATAGAACTTGCAGATAACAAAAAGATTACTATTATTATTATAATAAGAATAGATAAATTAAAACTAGATATCTATAAAATGCATAAGATAGATTTTTAGTTATTAAAATTATAGAGATATGATTTAATTCTAGATAAATCTTAATTATTTCACATTAATCTAATCATAGATTGAAGAAATAATATCATTATCTTTATTTATGAGTCAAAAATAATAAAAGTACAAGCTAATAATGAAATAAAATCAGAATTAAACTGTAATTCTATTTATATTTCAAGATAATAAATTGTTAATCTGATAGCAGATACAAAATTCTTTATTATATATCTCAATAATACTAAAGATAAGAAAAAAACAAAAGAAAAGATACTTTTATCTAAAGTATTAGATATCAAGAAAAAATATAAAAATATATTTTCAAAAATCTTATCTAATTAACTATTATCTA